CTTAACACATTAATTTTGCTTAAAAAAAAAAAAGATATCTCCTCCCCCCGCCCCCCCCAGAAAAAAGACCAAAAATGTTGGCTGTTCTTTCTCTACATGGTACAGGCACTTGGAGACCAAAACAAAATGAATCTATCATTTTGAAAATTAGGAAACAATACTAGTTAAAAGCTAGAAACCACAAACATTGTGATAAACAAAAGAAAATGCTTTATCCCAACAAAAACAATATTAGGGACCAGCAGCATGTTTCAGTATCAACTCCACAAACACTGAAGTTATTTGAATATTTAATATGTCCACACTATACGCAGAAACTAGCACATTCTGAGATAATAATTTTACATACAAGCATAGCCATCATATATTCCCTTTAGGGCTAAGCAGCTTTATTCAAAGCATGGAAAGGGAATGAGAAATAGTAAGACAAATATATCAAAAGCTTGAAGTAAGAGATATAATTAAAATTCCTTTACACCAGTGTTTCTCAACCTCAGCAATTTTAAGATATGTGGACTGGGGAAGCATGCTGGCTGGGGAATTCTGGGAGTTGAAGTCCACACATCTTAAAGCTGATAAGGCTGAGAAACACTGCTCTACACCAACACCATTCATTACATCCCTCCATATGTTTATAGCCTTGCACCATCACATTCAGGCACCATTTCATACATTGCCTTTTATATGTTAATCTTATGTCTTAGAAAATAATTTTCACAGTATATATTTTGAGAAATAACACCAATTTTATTGCCCCATTTCATTTATTCCAGAACAAGGAAACCTTTTATCAAATTAATTTTTTAATAATATATTTGGGAAAAATAGCTCAGAACTTCACAACTTGGGTACAAATCTTTGAGAATGCATTGTAGTGACAGCCTTTTCAATGTAAAACTGCTACTATTTATTTTGCCTTTTTTTATACTGTCTCCTGTTATGTATCCTCATAAGCAAGTAAGTCAGAAGTAAATCTGGCATCCGCTGGAGCTTATTCCCAAGATTAGCATGTTTAGGTTTGCAGTCTCAAGGAAATAAATACATGGGACTTAATATGCCTCCTTTTTAACCAAGAAGTCCTTTTACCAGCCTCCACTATTTGCTGGATTTTACTTCTAAGAACATTTTCAGACTGGTCTATTAGACATTGTTCAAGCTGTGATAGCTTTCAACATGATTATTTTACTGCTGCTTTTATTGATTAGCTGTAATTTTTAAATTTGTTTATTGCATGTTAACTGCAGGCTTAATTTTCAAAATATTGCACAGGGAAATATTTATGGCGAAACAATCAATTGAATAAATAACAACTTACACATAACAATAAGATCTTACCTCTTGAATATATAAGAGTGCAGATCGAATGGAGGATAGGAGGAACAGCCTTTGAGAAAAACCAAGGAAAAGTTGACTAGTCAGAGATAGCTACAGAGAACAAAAAGTATGACGAAGACGAGAAGAAAATCCAACATGAGGAAATCTATTCCTTAGAAAAGTAAAGGCACAGAAGTCCAGAAATTAAAATTAAAATAGGACAGAACAGCATGACCAAGATAACCAGTATCAACTGGAAAGACTGTAGGGGTGAGTTGCAACACTAAAATAATCCCAGATTGTTTTCTCTATCATATCCGTGACACAGGGACAGGCAGAATAAAGGAAACAGGCTTGGGTGAAGAAGAGTAAGTTCAAGATGTCATCCAAAGGGCTAACTGTTAACCAGTGGCTTGGTGTGACTGTGAGTTTTGGTATTTTTAGCTAAGTTTGTTGTGTCTGGGAGTGCCACAATCATAGTGGTTGTGACAGCTACCCCTCTGACATTGGGAGGTAAGGGCAGGAAGCTGATATAGTGCTCACTAGTTCCCTGGTCTTCCATGAAGCCCTGGAAGCACCTGGACCCTTGACTACCACAGGCAAGGCTGGAGGATGCACAAGGGGCAGAGCTGTCGCTGGAGCTGAAGTCTCAAAGCCTTTGGACCCCTGAGAGTTGGAAGTATTGGATTCCAGAGGTCAGAGGTAACCTGCGGTGTGCTGGGGCTCGCATGTCTGGAGCCTGGTGGAGTGCCAAGGTCGGCGGTGGGAAGAAGGCACTGTGGACTTTGGGCATTTGGGGCCTGTTGCAAGAGCAGAGACAAGGTGGGCGACACCATGCATGGTTCATTGGCATCAGATGTTTGACTTGTGGGGATATGGTTATAGGGAATACTATGGACAACCAAGAAAACAAACAAATGGATCATTGAACTCAAGGCACAAATGACCAGGCTCAAATTATCCTACTTCAGACACATTATGCAAAGACCTAGCTCTTTGCAGAAGCTCTAACGCTGGGAAAGGTGGAAGGAAAGAGAAGAAGAGCATGACCAGCAGCAAGGTGGATGGACTCAGTTACAACGGCAATGACAGTACCGTTGGAAGACCTGAAAGACCAGGTTAAGGACAGATATTCATGGAGAAAATCTATCCATGGGAAAACTAAGAGTCAACACTGACCTGATGATACATAATCAATCAATCAATCATAGTATGCTGATGATACCCATTTATATCTTTCAACCCCAGGCCAGGCTATCTATGGTATTCTCAAGAGTCTTCACCAACACCATAAGCATAAATATTCTTTTCATCCTGCTTTTTCAAAGTCCAAATTCACTTCTATAGAGTGTCACAGGAAAAACCATTGTCTGCATGATTTTGAGCTCTAGGTATAGATACATAATGAAATCTGAATGTCTTTTCCAAGGTCTTCATTGCTACCATATCAAGTGCTAGCCTGCAGTGTATTTCTTGACTGCAGATTCCTTTACTGTTGATAATCAGTCCTAAAAGGCAGAAGCTATCCACTACTTTGGTATCTTCATTGTTAATTCTAAGGCTGGTTGCTGTACCTGTTGTCATATGTTTGGTCTTTAATTGTAGCCCCATTTTTTCACTGTGCTTTTGACTTTTATTCTAGAGCTTCCAGATCATTTACACGTTCAGCTATGAGAATAGTGTCATCAGCATAGCACAATTTACTGACATTTCTTTCTCCAAATTTAAAACCACACACAGCTTTCAATCCATCCACCCTCAATACATATGCATCATATACACTGAATAAATAAGTGGAGAATATACAGCCATGTCTCATTCCTTTGCCAGTCTGGAGCCAGTCTGTTTTACCATGTTCTGTCCAGACTTTGGCTTTCTATCCTGTGTATAAGTTTAATAGGAGGACAATTAATATTCTTTCTATAGTCAATGAAGCACATACAGACTTATTTTTGTTTTTCCTTCACTTTCTCAATTATCCAGCATGCATCAAAAATAATGTCTCTTGCTCCTTAGCCTTTTCTAAAACGAACTTGAACATCTCCCTTTCTATGGTCCTAGGCATTATTGTGCTAGTAGGTGAAATTAAGAATATTCTGAGATAGTCTGCACATTCTGTTAAGTCTCCTTTCTTTGGCATTGGTATGAAGACTGGCCTCTTCCAATCGGTTGGTCACTCTGTTGTTTTCCAATTTGCTGTCATAGTTGGTTAGAACCTTAATGGATTCTTCTTCTGTTGCTTGCCATTTTTCCATAGATGTTCCACAAATTCCTGTAGCCTTCTGATTTAGTAATGACCAGAGTCCTGATTAACTTCATTTTCAAGTATTAGAGGTTTTTGTAAATAGCTATATCTTTCTCTTCTATGTTGAGATCCCTACTGTACAATATTTCAGTATACTCCTTCCATTTCATTAGAATCAATTACTATCTGTCCATTGGCATCCTTTAGCATACCAATTTGAGGTTGGACTCCTCCTGAGTTCAGAGATACTTTGAAAAAAGTTGTTGTGTTTTTCTCGGTTTCTTTCTATCTTTGATATTTTTATAGATGTTGAAGTACCGCTCCTTGTCTTTTCTAACAACTTTCTGATATTCTTCATTAAATTCCTTCTTGAGATCTCTTTTCTTTCTTGGCTCTGGCTTCTTGGCAGTGTCCATCATCTCTTCTGACATCTAGCTTTCTTCTGTTTCATAATCTTTAGCAGTCTCTTTTCATAGTCTTCCTTAACAACTTCCTTGATTTAATTCCACAGT